TTTTGACTTCAATGTTCACTTTTATGTTTATATTTACAGACGCTCTACCTCTGATATTAAACACTCTATCCCATAAATATAGTACATCTTAAAACTATATTTCTTCATATATATATATATATATATATATATATGATACCAGGATTATTTTATAACTTATTCAAGATGATCTTCGCCCTCTCTAATCTTCTTTCTGTCCTGGGGTAACAGTTTGCTTCAAAAGTTTCACATAAGATTTCATTTTCATTTTTTTCCTGCTCTTTGGACTGTCATAGTTGAAACTTCTTTCTCACGTGCCAAACATCTTATGGCTTGAGTTGGATCTTTTCTAATTGGTCTCTTTAGCTCTAGATTGAAATGATGATCGCTCTTGCTGTTGTGACCGCCTGATACTTTTTTCCTCTATACTGTTTTAAACTTTTCTATTCTTTTCTTAAACTGATTCACCGTTCTCTTGATGATCCTTCAACGGAAGATGGAAGCCAGAGTATGAATATTGGTATCATATTGGTGAATGTCTGAATGATATTTTTCCTCTCACCATTGCTCAGTAGGGAAGACAGTGGGGCTGACACAAAAGGATTTTAACCTGTTCTCTTTCTAGCTAAACAATCCAATTGGTTTTTCAGTGATTCTCACGACAAATGATTTTAAGATGGCTAGAGAGAGAGAGAGAGAGAGAGAGAGAGAGAGAGCGGGGTGGGGAGACGTATGTGTGTGTAAAAATGCCTATTTAGTTATTTATTTTATAAGTCTACGATTCGTCCATGTATTGAATATTGCTGTCAAATCTGGTCTGATGTTTCTAATATATATATATATATATATATATATATATATATATATATATATATATATATATATATATATATTTACAGATTTTCGATATTGCTGCTATTTCGACTTCCCACCTTAACGCCGCTTCCCTTAATAAATAAATATAAATTTATATGAAATTTTAAATAAATTATTTAGCAAATTAAAATAAAATTATAATTACAGTAATAGATAAGTATATATATATATATAACAGACCACTTTAAGATACCATTATAATAATTTATTTCACCAGAGCCCTTTTAAAGGACGCCGGATCATCAGATAGCACTTCCAAAGTTGAAATGAAACGAAAAATAAAATTAAAATTGATGGGTAGTGTAAGTTTCTGCAATTTAACAGAGAGTGTAAAAGGAGTAGTTAAAGAGACATGGTAGAGTATAGGGAGGGATTAATTTCATATCTCTCTTAAGTATACTTTGTATTGGGGGAGGAGGAGTGACCAGACCGTGACCTATTTAGACTGTTAACGGAAAAGGGGATATATTGAAATGGGAGGGGAGAAAAGAAAGAGGAAAAAGGAAAAAGAAAGAAGAGGGAGATGGAAGTAAAGAGAAAGAGGCTATAATTGGGTTTTAGCAATTTATGTAAAGAATAAATTTTAATGCTTGATAGTAATTTAGATATCTAAAAAACGGAAGAAATTAATTTGATGTTTGCTATCAATTTAAATATTTAATTTTTTTAAAATAAATAGTTTAGGGATTTAAAGTTAAATACTATATTTATTAACACATTTATAGAGAACATATTAAAAAATATTTTAAATTATAACAGTTTGTTCACCCAACCGATCGTACTTTTTTAATATTGTAAAAAATAGATAGTAACGGTAACATCTTTAAATCTAATTTATGAATGCATATATATATATATATATATATATATATATATATATATAAAGAAAGAACAGCTGATATATAATCCGGTGTTCTTATAGATATTTTTATTTTTACAAAATAGTGCTCAATGTAAATTTACAGAGCATTAATATTATAAATTAGTTGATTTAAAATATGTTTTTTTCGCTACACAGTTCGAACCACGTTTCAAAAATGGAAGCTAAAAACCACGAATTTAACTTTTGTGATTAAATGAAAGACATTAGTTTAATTTCATCCTCAAGCGAATTTTTCTTGAGGATGAAATGGAACTAATATCTTTGATTTAATCACAAAAATTAAATTCGTGGCTTTTAGCTTCCATTTTTGAAACATGGTTAGAACTGTGTAGCGAAAAAAAACATATTTTAAATCAATTAATTTATAATATATATATAATTATTTATTTAAAAATTATAACATAAATATGTTATAAAATCACTACAAAAATAGCTATTTTGTTTCAACACCTCTGGTGTCTTATCAAGTGATGATGTTGAATGTAGATTGAAGTAATTGTTTGTGGTTGGAATTTATTCCGTATACACCAATCATACACTATATATATATATATATATATATATATGCGTATAATATATTAGATTTTGCTCTACTTAATGTATTGAGCACTTTTACTTAATTTACCCTGTCGGCGTTTTTCCTTTTGATTGGGCATTGCGATGCTGATTGAGTTTTTCGACTAACACAGATGTCTTTCGGCTTTTCTTTCTTTCTCCGCCTGGTATCGGTCTGTTCAAATATATTTTTACTTACAAATTGTATTATCCGGTTTTATTTTCATATATATACGTAAGTGGATATAATGAATTCGGCTGGAATTCGAACTCGGCTTTCCTATTCCTCAGTCCGAGCCGCTATCCATTACTCCACCATTTCTGAATACTTTCGATATATTCCAATATCATTTTCAGGGTTATGACTGCTAAGACAAATAGTTGTGAGTGTGTCTGAAATAAATATTTATTTTTGTGGTTAAACCATTAACAGTTCCGGTCATGCGCAAAGTTACAAACGGTGATATTTCAAATTTTTCCGTATTGTAAACGTTTTAATGAAAGAGACTTAACTTAGTTAAGAATTGAATTCTTATGAAATGGACAAAGTCCGACAATTATTTTAAGACATTTTTGTGTTTATACATTCTTTTTTTATAGATACAAATATTTAAGTAAATGCTCTGAATGTACGTGAGAGATTCATAGAAGATTGAAGTTCAAATACAGTAAATTCGACCTTGCTAACAGAACTCTACTCTGTGACCAAATCGGTTAAAAGGCACGTCAGGCTATATGACGGTTCCGTATAGGATACAGGTTCGAATCCTGTCAGAGGACGAATATTTTCTGTGAAAATTTGTAGGACATTTAGGCCGGTAAATGGTGTGTAATACTGTTTATTATAAATAGAGCATTTACTTAAATATTTGTATTTATAAAAAGAATGTATAAACATAAAAATGTCTTAAAATTGATTTCTTGTTTGTAGGTTATAGTTTGCTTCTTTTGAAAGAAACTGTTTAATTTTAACCTAGATATTTCTAAAGAACTCTATCCTTGAAGCATTTCTGAACATTTATACTATTTTCCTAATTAATTTTGTTAAGTGTTGGTTTTAATTTTTTTTAATAAAGATGGCTTCGAGAATTTGTAAAATTCTGCTTATTATGTTCTTGGTGAACTATACAGGTATTGCTGGCTAATATTCTTCAAAATTTTGAATGTGGACAGGAATGCTTTTGCAGATGTGCAATGAACGATGAATCATTCATGTATAGATTGAGCCGTCTTGATAGCGTTATTGTAGAATGACCAACATATACATTAGTTTGTCGGAGATGCAATCTTCTAAGAAAAATTTAAATTGATATATCGTGTTGGTTTTCTGAAATACGTCAGTTGGTGGGGAGCAGTTCGTACGGCTGCTAAAGTTGTATTAAATTTAGTATAGTGTAAAATTAATTTTAAGTCCTTCGCTAGATTCAGAAATCTGGAAGAATGAGAATGTTCCGGTAGGCCAGCAGCCGTTGATGATGACGAAATCGAGACGCTGATTAAAAATAATCCGAGTCACACCACACGGGATATCACAGGGGTAGTTCATATATAACATATGAGCGTCTTGTTTGGGGAGGGGGGCCGTGTCTCACTGTTTAACGGAAACGGTTTAACAGGCCGGATATCCAACTCCGATTCTCTGCTCAAACTCGGTAAAAACGTCTCATTCTTTAAAGGAACGAGAAGAGGCTATGAAAAATGGAATGTTTTAAACAAGATGGCTCGAAAAAGTTACCGTGTAAAAAGAAAAGATCACAGTAAAGCCCGCCTGCATACGGAAAGGAAGATAATCTGCTTCTGCACGGAATGAAAGGGCGTTGAATTCAATGTTCTATTCCCAAATGGAGTGATTAAAGCTAGATTGTACGTGCGTAATTGGCCAAGCATGAAGTGTGTTGTATTCCCACACACAAAAAAAGCCTCGTTGTCTGGCGGTACAAGTGTAAGAGTACCCTTCATCATAACATCGATCGGGCCAACCTGAGACTACTACACGGTCCGGAATCCATTCACAAAATAGCATTAAAATAACCCTGATATTATACACCATAGCTTCTGTTACAGTTTTTTTTTGTGAATATATCTAACTAGTGAGCTTGCCTAAATGAGTTGACTCACTTTATAGTCCACCAATTGAAGGTTAACCAATCAGAAGACGTAGAATATTCAATCCGTCGTGTATAAAGACGGCCATTTTGTTTACTCTCTCCGAATGTCCACTGCCAGCTTGTCAGGCGAAGAGGAACAGAAGGAAGACCTACGTTCTGCTACTTTACCGGGATATCCACTGCTAACCTGAACAACGCTTCCCTACTGTCTTCGAAATATTCACTGCTAACCTCTGGATTCTATACTCAAAGACGACCGTCATCACGAACAACAGCTTCCCTCCAGGAAACGGCTCGGTAGAAATTGGTACAGTTTAACTGCGTGGTCCTACTACACTGACCACACTAACCAGACCCTACCCCTTTCGTTTTTGATTGACTGGTTCGCTTTTTTACGGCTTATCAACCCTTTTGCAGTTTATTTAAAGCCAAAAAATATTTTTAGACTGTAAGAATATTTTTGACGGACAATGCGTGATACAATTCTTACTAATTAACCCATAGCTGTGCGTAGATGAGGTGGATTCATGCCTTTCACAAGCGTATTTGCGCGTAAGTGAATATAAAGAACCCAGCTGGAATTTCGAGCAATTATCCATTACACCACCAGCACATCCAAGCGGTCACCCATCTAGGAACTGACCAGATTCAACGTTGCTTAACTTCGGTGATCTTACGGTAACCGGTGTTTGAAAGTGATGTGGCAGTAAGCCCAGTATACCATCTGTACATCTAAACTTGCATCACCTGGTATTCCTAGGCGCTCACCCATCTAGGTAGTGACTAGGCTCGACGTTGCTTAACTTCGGTGATCATACAGGAACCGGTGTTTGAATGTGATGTGTCCGCAAGTCATATGTACACCATCTAAACTTATGGCATCTGGTATTCCCAAATAGTCACCCATCTAGGTACTGGCCAGGCTCGGCGTTGCTTAACTTCGATGATCGTACAGGAAATTTTTCAACGTGATGTGTCCGTAAGCTCGTTATACCATCTGCACATCCAAGTTTACAGCACATGGTATTCCCAAGCGGTCACCCATCTAGGAAATGACCAGATTCGACGTTGCTTAACATCAGTGATCTTACGGGAAGCTGTGTTTGAAAGTGATGTGACCGTAAGCCCAGTATGTGATCTGTACATCTAAACTTACAACACCTGGTATTCTCAAGCGCTCACCCATCTAGGTAGTGACTAGGCTCGACGTTGCTTAACTTCGGGAATCTTACAGGAGCCGGTGTTTGAAATATGATGTGAAGGTGAGCCATTATATCCAAGAGTATTGTATTAAAATTAGACATTTACTTATCTCAGTATGTGACATTCAGTAGAAAGACAATTATTATTATTATTATTATTTGGGAAAAGTAAAATGAAGAGATCACAGTCCGAAGATCAAAAGAATTCTTCATTGTTACATTTTCCGAACAAAAGAACGGCATGCAGCGAACGTTAAGCTTACCATCAGAACACGAAGTCGAATGAATCAAACTTTTAAAAGCAGAACGAGATGGCGATATTTCAACCAATCAAAAGCCGCATAGCATATTGTATTAATATGTTTTTTATCCAATTACGTGTCGTGTGGCTTCAAGGCGTGAAAGATTATTCCTATCCACGAACTTCGAGTTCCTTGTCGCTTTAAGTAACGTTTGTCTCTTCACAATGCTTCCTAGTCCCTGTTCTGCCATCCATTTACACAAGCTTTTTAGCTAGACTACCCAACGTCTTCCTCTACACTTCTCGGTAATGTTATGGAGAATCGCTCGGAATTGTTAGTCCGAGAGCCGAATTCCATTTCCCGTTGGGTTCCTAACACACTTGGGAAATGTATGAATCTACCTTTTCTCCCCACCTATGAGTTAATTACTAAGACTTGTGTCATTATTATCCCCAAAGAAAACTACTCACAATCTAAAAATATTTTTGGCTTTAAATAATCTGCATATAGTTCATAAGCCGTATTCAATTAGATTATGGGGAATATTTTTTTATTTTTAAGAATTCTTAGTACTCAAAAATGATATATAAAAGGCGCTCACGTTATATTCAATTATTTTTTACGGTTAAAGCCTAACATTATATAAACATCAATCTGCTATCAAAGAACAACAATAGATAGGCATCAATCTTTCGTCAAGCTGTCAAACAATTCAACAACTGAAATAAACAGCTACCTCCGTTTTAAAAAATTCATTTCTGAGATATTTTAAAACTAAAGTAAATAATATTTGTTTCAAATCATTTTAATTATATATTAAATCAGTTAATCAGTTTTTATACAATTATTCTCGCAAATAAAGTTTCGGAAAATATATTTTATTTAGGAAAGATTTTTTTAATAAAGTGAATTACGTTATAATGAATGATGACTAAAAAGATATTTTTGAGCTACCCACAAAAAAAAAACAAAAAAAAACTTCTTCCAGTAAATTTAAATTAGTTTTGAAATACAACAAATTATTTTGTTTATTGGAAATAATAAATTTAATCTACTAGCACGAAATTAAAACCTAAAATAATAGCTTGAAGAAAGATTTTTCATTTTTAAAAATAAATTTTAAACCTTAGCTATCACGTTTTCTGCAGTGGCACCTACTCTATCTGTGAGGAAATTGTTCAACATTTACCGCCATATTGTTGGATATCGGTTGAGGAAGACCTTTGACCTCACTTCCGCTGCATCAGAGAGAGAGAGAGAGAGAGAGAGAGAGAGAGAGAGAGAGAGCGAAAATCGGAATGGGTGATAGCATAAACAAGAAATACATCCGGCGGCTAAAATAACCAGCGTTGTATTACGTGTTTTTCTCTTGTTCTCATTACATTTTGCTAGGGGATGAAAGGAGTTTCGGACCAGCTTGTACATTCCTTTGTTCCACCAGTTCTAACCTTTATGTCTAAGACCCGCTATGCCACGCCCATTGTAGCGAACTACCTTCGTTCGCTTCGTATTCCATTGGTGAGATGTTCACTCGACCAGCTTCTTCCCAAGAACCACAATCTGAAATCGGCTCCCAAAAGAGTGCTTCCTTGATCACTACAATCTTAAGCTGTTCACGTCTAGGGTTAAGCGTTTTATTGCCTATATATCACTATAAACTGTGGATCTTAAATTTTACTCGGTAACCCTCTACTACACGTAGCTTTTGACCTTCTACCGTGTGAACATTATTGTAAAAACATACAACTTATTAAATTTTGCTGTTTATTTGTTGGGGGGGTGCAATTGTTGCATATTTGCGTCGTCTTCACGAGAAAGGCAAATGCGATGTTAGCAAAATCAGCATAAAAATAAATTCGGTTATAAAATATACATAAAAAACATGAAATTATTGAATTTGCATTCTTTATAATTATTTTAAATATCGGATGTAGAAAATAAAATATCAAATAAAATGATCGATATATTGGAAACCAAATATCGGCTTTAAATATGGATTTTCAGATGTCTTTACGCCTCAATTATCTTTCGTCATTTTGAAGAGAAATAAATTGACTCCATTTATTAAGTATTATTAAGCATTAAGTCATTTAAAATTTTATGAACCCGCCAAAAAAGTGGAAAAACTTGATTGTAAGGCGTACGTCAGAACCGGACTATTTCTGTGATTCCAAGAAGAGACTTCGAGCTTTAGATATGGAATATCTGCGAAGTTTCGCTCATTCTGTTTCTGCTCTAATTATTTGATCTTGTGCCATAGTATAGTACTTCTCATTCAGTTATATTGCTTTAAGTTCATACCCTGACGAAGTTTTGTCAGTAATACCTTCAATTTTAAGGTTGGAGAACTAATTCTAGTGGGACAACTAATCGACGGTCGAGACAATAGTGTCTGGGCGTGACAAAAATCTGATGCAATCATGGGTGATGCAATATTTTTCAAGGCCAAACAAATTTCATCATACTCCCCGAAAATAGAATCATATTACTGCACACCACTGCAAATGACCTAATATGAGGAAAAAAATAGAAATCGATGACACCCTGTCACTTCAATGGGTCTAAAACTGATACATATATACTTTAAGAATAAGTTTATTCCACTACCTTGGTATCCACAAACCAAGATAGCGGATTCAACGGATCTCCTAATGTTTAAAGCTTAAATCTCTACATGTAATTTTAATTTTTTCACACGAATACTGAACACTTTTTTAGTACTACTGTTTCCTGGTCTGATTCAACTCTGACCATTAACCATTTTATGTACGTATACACACACACACGCACACAAACACACATACACACACACACATATATATATATATATAGGCAGCATATCTTCATTCAAGCATGTCTAGTTGAATAATCACACACACACATATATATATATATATACAGGCAGCATATCTTCATTCAAGCATGTCTATTGAATAATCACACACACACACACACACACACACACATATATATATATATATATATAGACAGCAGATCTTCATTCAAGCATGTCTAGTTAAATAATCACACACACACACACACACACACACACACACACACACACACACACATATATATATATATATAAAAAGAAATATGTTGTAGTGGTTCCAACGAGAGAAAAGTATGTATATTAAAAAAGAAGAGGGGGTGCCGCAAACGTTTTTGGTTGTAATGTGGATTTATTGAGAAAAAAATATTATACTTTGTTTTACATAATTTCACGACACGTGTTTCTGGTCTGGTCTCGCAACCGTCTTCAGGTGAAAGTGGAGATTTTTACATATTAAAAATAATTAATTTTTCTTTCATGTTCAATGTGGAATATTCTCGATATGAGACATTCTGTTTGTGTGTTAGCAATCCGAATTTTCTTTCTAGAATTGTCAATGAAGAGTTCTGCGTGAAGGTCATAAAACAATTAAGGTTTGTCCAGCGAGTAGTTATCGGCATTTAATCTTTTAATGTTTTAGTGACCTCTATGTGCTCTTGGATCTGTTTCTATTTTGGCGTGTTCCTGTCAGCATGCGTGTATATATGCGTGCGTATATTTCCTACTACGAGGAATTCGTAAACTTATTTGTACTTATACACGCATACACACATACGCACATACACACTATCCCACCACAAGTAGTCAGTACACACACACACATACACACATATTTACCAAGCTACATGGAACCAGTACACACACATACACACACACACATACATACACACGCACACACACACACACACACACACGTACTTCTTAAGTTGTCAACATCCGCATATACATACATAAATGTATGTATGTGTACATACACATATATATATATCTCCTCGTGTCTCCCGTATATGAGTGTGCGTCCATGTATGTGAGCGATCATTGTTTTTGGTCACCCTGTGTTCAATTTTTTTTTTTTTTTTGTGGGGGGGGTTACGATCTATTCAGTTCGGGTTTGAATTTGTCTATAAAATTTTTTTCCTGTATTTGTAGATACGAGTAATTGTCTGTTTGATATATCGGCATGATATTAAACTTACCCTGGTTACATTTGAAAATGTGTTGTGATACAAAAAGTTTTCTGTTGTCTGTCAATTTTATATTGCTTTTGTGTAGGGAGACCCTGTTGTTCAGTTGTTGGCTGATGCCTATATATGACTTCTTACATTTGTGCATTTAAGTGCATAAACTACATTTTGAGTTGCAGTTTAAGTTTTGTTTATTGTGAATGTTTTTTTTTGGGTTTTCAAAAGTGTAGGAGTTTCCTTCTATAATGATGTCACAAACTCCACATCTTTTTTGTTGCATTTTAGACTCCCTGTATTTTGTGTTGACTAAATTTAGATGAGGTTAATATGTGTTTTAGGTTTCTAGATTGGCGTTTGCTCTTAATTATTTTGGTTGTTTTAGTATATTATTCAGTTTATTATTCTTGCTAAGTAAATCTAGATTTTTTGTGATTTCTGGGAATATTTCTGGGTTGTTTTTGTTGTACGTTGAGACATATGCTGAGTTTGTTCGACGTTACGTTTCTTTTATTTCTAAGTTGGTCTAGAGGAATTTCTTTCGCGAGTTCAATACCTTTTGTTTATTAGTGTTGTGGGGTAGCCTCGTTTCTTGAGAGTTTTATGTAGTTCTTCTAAGCGGATTTTTCGGAGATGTTTATCAGTCACTATTGTACAAATTCTACGTGCTAGGGAATAGGGGATGGATTTTAGGCAGCTTTTTGGGTGATGGCTCTTGAAATGAACGTATTGTTGGGTGTCTGTGGGTTTGTGGTAGATATCTGTGATTATGTGGTTGTTTTTTATTTCTAATGAGTATAT